TTTTTTTGCAGCTGTCATTGTTGTCTAGTTGGCTCAGGCTGGGTTCAAACCCGCCACCCTCGGTATATGTGGCTGTTGCCGTAACCACTGTGCTATGGTCGGGATTTTGTTTTTTTGAAGTATATACCCTGGAGTGATGTTTCTAGCAATTATATTGTTGGGGTTGTGTTGAGGTTGTTATTCTGGGACTATGGGATAAAGTGAATGAGCAATTGTGTTTGTGTTGTTGGGAAGCTGGATTTTAAGACTGTGAATATAGATTTGTAAGATTAATAAAGTAAGGTAAAAACCTGTGGTCCTGAATGTGAAGTATGCACATGAACTCACAATATAATTTACCTTCAAAAAAACAAAATCCTGGCTTGGTGCCTGTAGCACAGTGGTTACGGCACCAGCCACATGCACCGAGGCTGGCAGGTTTAAGCCTGGCCAGGGCCTACTAAACAAGAATGACAACAACAACAAAAAAAGTAGCTGTGTGTTGTGGCAGGTGCCTGTAGTCCCAGCTACTCGGGAGGCTGAGGGAAGAGAATTGCTTAAGCCCAAGAGTTTGAGGTTGCTGTGAGCTGTGACACCACAGCCCTCTACCCGGGACGACATAGTGAGACTCTATCTCAAAAAAAAAAAAAAAAATCCCAACTCTGTTGATAGAAAGGCCTAGAAACAATAACCAATCCCAAGCAATGGGCATCCCGAGCATCTCCAGTTGTGGTCTCTAACACCACTTCCCACTGAAAGGGCTAGAGTTCCTTAGAAAGATTGAACCTGATCAAGCCTCTGGATTTCTGTACACAAGAATTTTCTGTAACAATAAAAATGTTCTCATCTGTCCTGTCCAGTTGGTAGTCATTAGCATTTGTGGCTATTGAGCATTTGAAATGTGGTCAACTGAATTTTTAACTCTAATATCACAACTGGACAACATAGCTCTAGATATAATTACCAAATTACAGGAAATAAGCAACAGAGGAACATGCAAAACCTGATAAACAAACCTGTTTCTTTAACTAAATGTTGTAAGAGGGAAAAAGGGAGGGAAGAGGATCTACATCTTAAAACAAATTTAAGGCACATCAACCAATCACACTGTGTGGTTCTAGAATTTGATTCCAGAACATTTGGGTGTAGAGGGGATGAAAAGCCAGAGGTGGGGGTGGGAGTGGGGGGGGGTGATGAATAAGACAGACTGGCCATGCGATGGCAACCAGTGAAGCAGGGTGACAGGACACAGATGCACATTATAATCTCTCCCACTTTTACTCAGGCTGGGAATTATTTATAAAAGGTCAAGAAGATGACTCCAGGACTAATCTCTGCCTCCCCACCTTCTAGAACAGCAAAGGACTCAGGAGGAAAGGGGCACACAGCTATGATATTTCATACTTACACATGAAATACTGGAAGGCCTTGGACTTCACAAGGATATTAATGCCTATTGAAGAGAAGACATGTTAAAATGGAAATTTTCACACACATTCCCCTACCACATTCTTCATGCACACACAGGCAACTGGGGTATTTATGTCCAGGGGTGAGAAAAGGAAGGGCCTGTTCTAAGGATGACACACTTGTGCTCAGACCCCAGACAAGACTGCAAGGACAACGGCTGCTCTGGGGAGAGCCAGGGCAACCCTGAGCTGAGACAGAATAGGACAAAGCCTTGGTGGCCACCATTGAAGCTGCTGCTCACCTCAACATCAGACTGTTAACTCATCCACCTGAGTAACTATCATCCCAGCAGAATGAAAAACTCTCTCAAGAATCTGAAATATGGGCTTGGTGCCTGTGGCTCAAGTGGCTAAGGCACCAGCCACATACACCTAAGGTGGTGGGTTCGAATCCAGCCTGGGCCCACCGAACAACAATGATGGCTGCAACCAAAAAAAAAGATAGCCAGGCGCTGTGGTGGGTGCCTATGGTCCCAGCTACTTGTGAGGCGGAGGCAGGAGACTCACTTGAGCCCAGGAGTTGGAGGTTGCTGTGAGCTGTGATGCCACAGCACTCTACCCAGGGGGACAGCTTGAGGCTCTGTCTCAAAAAAAAGAATCTGAAATACAGCTCAGCTTCCGGAGCACAGTGGTTACGGCACCGGCCACATATACAAAGGGTGGCAGGTTTGAACTCGGCCAGGGGCCAGCTAAACAATTCCAGCAAAAAAATAGCTGGGCATTGTGGTGGGCACCTATAGTCCCAGCTACTTGGGAGGCGGAGGCAGGAGAATCGCTTAAGCCCAAGAGTTGGAGGTTGCTGTGAGCTGTGATGCCATGGCACTCTACCGAGGGCTACATAATGATACTCTGTCTTGAAAAAAAAAAACAAGAATCTGAAATAACAGTTGCATATAAAGGCCTAGCTGTGGGAGAAATCACAAAATAAAATATACCATCTTCATTCTTGTTCATAATGGCCCAGATCCAGACTTTGGGCTATTTGCATAAGAAACTCCTTGTGAGGGCAGCACCTGTGGCTTAGTGGGTAGAGCACCGGAGCCATATACTGAGGGTGGCGGGTTCGAATCTGGCCCTGGCCAAACTGCAATAACAATAACAAAAAAATAGCCAGGGCTTGGCACCTGTGGCTCAAGCGGCTAAGGCACCAGCCACATACACTTAAGCTGGCAGGTTCGACTCTAGCCTGGGACCACCAAACAACAAAGATGGCTGCAACAAAAAAAAACAGCTGGGCACTGTGGAGGGCGCCTATAGTCCCAGCTACTTGGGAGGTGGAAGTAGGAGAATCGCTTGAGTCCAGGAGTTGGAGGTTGCTGTGAGCTGTGATGCCATGGCACTCTACCCAGGGCAACAGCTTGAGTCTCTGTCTCAAAAAAAAAAAAAAAAATAGCTGGGCATTGTGGCAGGCACCTACAGTCCCAGCTACTTGGGAGGCTGATGCAAGAGAATCACCTAAGCCCAAGAGTTGGAGGTCGCTGTGAGGGTGAGCACTCTACTGAGGGCGATAAAGTGAGACTGTCTCTAAAAAAAAAGGAAAAAAGAAACTCCCTGTGAGCTAACAATACTACCATGTGCAACTTCAAAACTGGCAATAAACTCAGGGGCAATTGTTAGGTAAATAATAAGAGCACTCGATTAAAATTTTTGACTTTTATACTAATACAAAAGTACGCAAGTGGTCATGTAATCTAGCTATACGTCTCACCATCAGAAGAGGGGAAATGTGTTATTGGATTAAAAAGGCAGGTTACAGAACAGAATACCTAACATAATCCTGTTGTTTTAAAAATGCACAGAAAATTAACAGAGAATGTGTTTCAACAGGGAAACACGTCAGAGAATTCACAGTGGTTATCTCTAGGTGGGTAAACTTTTATATTTTGCTAATCATCTGACTTTCAAAATTTGCTTCACTAAATATCTTTGCTTTTGCATGAGGAGAGGAAAATCTATGAAATATCTTGGTTTGGCTGACATTCCTGGTTTCTTTCCTAGTTGGCCTCCTACCACTTACTTCCAAGCTGGGGTAATCACCTCTTTCTACATACAGACATTCAGACACACAGACTCCCCTCTGAACATGCTCCTCAAATGTTCACCTACAGTCTCTGGAAACCCCAGCTGCCAAAACACCACATTCAGACCAACCTTACCTTTGAAGATGAGGAATGCTGTCCTGGGAAGCTCATCAAACCAGTGCTCTCTGTTTTTCTTTGTCTGGCAAGGCAACAGGGCCACAGAGGACAGGAGGTCAGGGCCAGTGACCAGAACCTAGCCCTGGGGCCAGGAGGCTGGCTTTCCTGCTCTGCTTGACACAGCAAACTGGGGAACAGTGTTAACATTCAGGGATCTAAACAACACCGACAGCCAGTGTGGGCTGAGCACTGACAACGTGCCATGTGTATGCATTACTTTCATATATAATCCTGAAAAGAACCGTCAGGTAGAGACTGTCATTTTCTTGTTTCAGGGGTGAGATGAACCTTGGAAAGGTTTGCTGGATCTGCAAGTCCGTGCTGTTAACAGTGACACTATATCACATGTGTAAGGGCAGATTTGGGGGCCAGGGGTCCCCTGTTATCCCTGAAGTGCACGGTTCCCATCTGAGAGCTGAGCTGCTCCAGCAGGGGGAGAGCTAGGCCCCAGGTGCCTCCGGTCTTCATGTCCCCACCTGGGAACCCTTGTGCCCATTCTGTCTCCAGTCCCACAAGAGCGCTCACCTTCCACTTTAAGGCAGCAACTTCATAGATATCATAAAATTCCTTTAGGCTGGCATAAATTAAATGAAAAGGCAAAAAAAAAAAAAAAATCAGAACACATTCTCACATTTGCATTGGCTCTCTTCCTCACCTGTCCATGGCCACCTTCACAGGTGAGTTGGGAGGGGATGAGGGAACCTCCTATGAGTCCTGGTGCATCAGTGCCCAGGGGACCCTGCTCCAAGGCACTTGGATTTCATCTGCCCTTGAGGTACTATGAATACATAACCCACTTAGTCTACACTGAACACACTACAGATGGTTTCTGGCCCCTGGCGAGGCAGCCCCAGAGAACTATAACTCTTAGGACAGAAATGTCACCTCTTTAGCAGAGGCTTTCATGGAACACCTGGACTGTGAGTCCAACCCAAACAGAGCTAGCTCATTCTCATCTCCACAGCAGGCTGCTGCTTCTCCTGTTGGTCATTGACAGTCCAGAAGACAGTACTGCCCAGGGAGTTCTGGAGGTCAGTTCTTGGAGACTGAGCCAGGTGTTCACACATGTGTGCACAAGACGGTGTAATCACCCTTCTCTGTCCACCTGGTTCACATAGGCCTACCCCACCCCACTCAGGGTGCAGGTTTGAGCTGCTGGCCTGGTCCACCGCATGAGCTGATACAATCCTTTTTTATCAAGTCAGCATTAATAGGGTTGGTGTTGGACTACTGGCTCGTGGAAAAAGAACCCTGATGAATACAGTCCACAAGTCCACATGTACAAGTATCTCTGTGAAGAAAACTGAAGTCTCTAACAAGCCTCTGTGCCTGCCCACCAGTGCCTTCACACACCCCACTCCCTCTTGTGATATGTCATCCCTGGCCTGGCCACGCTGCCCGCCCCCACCTGGTATCTACTCCTACCTGAGCAGAGGTGTGTTGCTCTGATTCAGGGCCTTAAAAGTGAGATAGCGCTCCCTTGCACTCATCCGGGGCTTATAGAAGCGCATCAGGCCTTCAAAATGCCTATAGGAGATGCCAGCCGGCCTCTGGGGAGAGGGAAGAGGGCAGTGTGGGAGAGAGGAAGAGCCAGAACCCAGACTGCTGCCCTCCCCTGGGAACAGCCACTCCAGATCCAGGGCACCTACTCATTCTATCAGAGGCGGGACTCCAGGTTTCTAACATTGCTGGCCCTGCCATGCTTAAGGGCTGCTCTGGGCACTGGAGGGAGAAGGATCAACCCCTTCCCAACCCCTCCCAGTCCCTCCAGCCCCTACCCGCTGGCTGACAAGCAAGTGGTAGGCATGCTGGATGGCAGTTCGCTTATGCAGGAGCAAGGATTTGAACTTGCGTTTCTCAATGTCATTGAAGGTGTCGAACACCACAGCCAGAAGCTACAAGAGAAAAGCAGAGCTTGACTCCCCTGCACATAGGGCCCTGAGCAGCTGGGGGTGTCTGTCCTCTGCCTCCAGGCAGGGCTTTCATCCAGCTACCCCAGAGAGGGCCTGGAAAGAACTTCCGCCTGCATCTTGTGGTGCAGGAAGTTTGTCTCCAAGTTTCAACAGAGGAAGTGTCTATTTGTTGCCACTGGACAACTCTCTTCAGATACATGAAGACATCGTGATTCAATTTTCTCCCAGATTCCCCATCTACTTTCCTACTTTCCTCTCCCTCCTTTCACTTAAAGCTTTTCCCAGAGGGACAGGGGGCAAGACAGGAGAGAAGAAAGCAGAGAGGGGAACATGCCTGGGCTCTAAGCCCAGCCCAGCTCATCCCGCAGCTGAGCTGCTGACTGCCACTGCTCCTCCCATGTCACTGTGCCTGATGCTACTTCCTCCTGCCCTGTTATTCCCCCTTGTGAGTCACAGCATCACCAGTGGTCCCAGAAATAAGGTGAATGACAAGGACTGCATGCATGGAAGTAACATTTAGAGGTTGCCCAATACCAAAGTCAGCTTATTAATGATACAGTCTGTATCATCAGAGAGGAATGGGAGGGTGGAGGAAGAATTTGAATGAATCCTTTCTAGAAATACTTGCTTTTAGGAGTCAGTAAACTTTTTCCATAAAGGGCCAGATAGCAAATATTTTAGACTTTGAAGGCCAAATGGTCTGTTTCAACGACTCAGCCCTGCAGTTCCATCAGGAAATCAGCCACAATGATATGTAAACAAATGAGTGCATCTGTGTCCTAATAAAACTTTATTTATAAGCACAAGCTGTGGGCCCGATTTGGCCAGAAGACCATAGTTTGCCGACCCCTACCCTAAATTTTCACAGCTCTAAATATATTACAAATGAAAACAAATACAAAGACGTAATCAACATATTTCTTTTTTGGTTTTGAGGAACTAAAAAAAGAAAACATATCTTCCTTCTTAAGCCTTTACATTTTTAGGAGATTTCACAAGTCTACCACAGAGAAAATGTTTTCCATTTTTATACTGAGTCTGAAGATTGGTAACTAGTGTGAGAATGCTCTTTGGAAGTAGAAAATAAACATAAGACTTGATCAAAAGCTTCTCTCCATTGACGTGCGGTCTTGGCACTGGCCTAACAGCCTACTGACAGAATGGTTAGGGGCAGGGGTCTGGAATGAGCTGCGCAGCTATGGGCAAGTCACTCTGTCAGTCTGATCTTTGGTTTCTTCATCTGTGTACTGAGAATTATAATCATAACAAAATCCACAGGCTTGGATATTAAATCATTTTATCCTCATATATAAAGCACACTGCATGATGCCTGGCTAAGGTTTAATAAATGTCAGCTTTTATAGTAATAATACAGTCGATCCTCCACATCTGTGGGTTCCACAGCCAAGAATTCAACCAACCAACATGGAAAATATTTGGGGGGAAGGAATAGATGGTGGCACCTGCATTTCCCATGTATAGACTATTTTCTTGTCATTATTCCTTAAGTGATACCGTCTAACAACTATTTCTACAGCATTTACATTGTATTAGGAATTCTAAGTAATCTAGAGTTGATTTAATGTATACACGTGGATGTGTGCAGATTATAAGCAAAATATCATGCCATTTTACATCAGGGAATTGAGCATCTGTGAATTTTGGTACCTGTGTTGGTGGGTGAGGAAGGCTCATGGTTGGAACCATTGCCTTCAAATGCCAAGGGATGACCGTATGTGTTTGCTGTAAGAGTGTGAAGGCCCCAGAGTGGCCTTGGCTTAGAATCTAGCACCACGAATAGCAGCAGCCCTAGGCTGGTGAGGATGCTACCACTCATAACCAGCTGAACTCCCTAAGTCCTGACAGGGCATCCTCCAAACACCTTATCTGACCACGAATCTGAAATCTTCCTGCCCTAAGGTTTTGCCCTAGGAGGCTGAAGGCAGTCCCCACATTCCCACACCCTCAGGGCCCAGCACTGCATGGGCTGGGGCAGGCTGCTCTGATGGAGCCCAAGGCACGGTCACTCACCAGGTTCATGATGAAGTATAGCTCAATGGAGAGGTACACAATGAAGAAGACGCAGGACCAGGGGTTCCGGGAGTAGGAAGGCATCATCACATCTGGGAAGCTGCATTTGCAGAGGGTTACCCACAGGACCTGGGTGGGCCTGCCTCTACCTCTCAGAGGACACGCCATACAAAGGACAGCTCCTATCCTGCCTTCCCAGCCTCCCCCACCCCACACTTCCCCTACTCTGGAGCTCAGCAGACTCATCCGGTCCCCCCATGGCACCCCAGCAACTATCTGTGCGAAATGTGGCATATACTTTGCTGAAAAAGGAGAAAACCCAGGCACCAGCGGAGGGCCACAGGCTAAACCGAGCCAGTGCTTACTTGGCTGTGGTCAGGAGGACAAAGAGGCTGACAATGCTGTTCTCCAGGGTGTTGAAGTACTGTACAGGAGAAAGAGTTGGAAAAACAGGCTGGGGCCAGGCCAAGAGCCAGGGACAGGCCACACTGGGCTACCTCAAACACCCTGCCCTCCCCTGTCCCTGCTCCTTGGTCTTCCCAAGGAATCAAGGGATACAGAGGAATGAGCAAACGTGCAGTCCAGAGACCTCCCCCTGCTGTACTCAATGCTCTGGCAGAAGCAGACTGTTGACTCAGGGGGACTGTTCCCAGGAAGTCACATGTGTATGCAATTAGCCTGGCTCCCTTCCACTGCACCTCTGCCAAAACGTTCCAATGTTCCAAACCTGATCCTGGCTGCATCCTGCTCAAGGCCAGGAAAGGGGATCCCCTCAGCTCTCAAGGAAGAAAACAGCCAAGTCTGAGTGACAGGGAACCTTTGGGTACCCTGCATAAGCTAGGATGAGAAACCAGACTGAGCACCCTTCCCTCATTTGGCTATAGTGTTGCTCCAGTCACCCCCTCTTGGGGAAAAGATCTCACATAAAAAAACAGACAGACAAAGACAAACATGCCAAATACTTACGGGGTCTGAAGGATTAGGGGAAAACAAGTAGAAACCTAGAAAGTGGTGGAAAACCAGACAAAAAAGGGATTAGAGCAAAGGTCCCAACTTGGGTACCAGCAAGCCCAGGAAAAGCAGAAGGGAGTGGTGGGGACTGTAGCACCCAGAGTGCTCAGCTCTGTCCAGAGGGAGCAGGTGCTGCTGGCACCAGACACCTGCTGCCACTGCCATAGAAGAAGGCACCTGAGCACCGTCAGGCTTAGTCTTTAACCCTTTCCAGTCCTATGTCAGACCTCACTCAACATAATGATTTTTGTTTATAAATAAAAATAGATAAGAAAACTTTGTAACCAAAAAGAGATTATAAAATCATCAGGTGCATTTTTATTTATGTTTTTCTCTTTTAAAGCTGTAAGATAATAACAAGTAATCCACCAACCTCTTTTCAACCCCTAAAAAATAAGAGCTGGAGAGTATGTGGGTGGCAGAAAAATTGGATTAGAAAAGGTTAAAAAGGCTGGAAATCTGTATTTTCATGTAAAAGCTAATTTGAAAATGTTGGCTCCAGTTTTCATACCAAATGAAACCCATCTGTAGGCTAGATCTGGAATCCAGGCTGCTGGTTTACAGTCTCTGGTTTTGAGAACATGACAGCTAAGTGAAATTTCAAAGGGGCTCCTGTAGTTCCTGGTACCCAAGGTCCAAGGGTGGGGAGATTATTCATTTCCTCCCTCCCAGAATGGGCTATTCCCCAGAGGCCTTGAAATCCTGGCTAGGAAAAGGGAGAAATTCTATCCTCAGAGGAAATCAGCCTCCTGGGAGAAGCATAAATGAAATTATACCAAAAATGTGGATGGCAGGTAGGAGGACATGGGAGCCAGTCTCATGTCAAGACGAGGTCCATGCTGGTGTTAGCCTAAGAGTCAGGGTTTGCTAGTTTCACTGTCTTTACCATCTTTGCCTAAAGATAGAACCTCAGCCTTCCTAGCTGTGTGCTGGGACCTCCACTGTCTAGACCCTGTGTCTGGATGTGGCTGTCACATAATCAGCCTTGTCTGAAGAGCCAAGACACTATTGCAGAGGGAGGAAATGTGCTTTGTATCTGGTGAAGCTAAAGTGTGCAGACCCTCACAGCCTGGGCAAGCGTCCTTGAGAAAATCCCAGGCACGTGTACCAGGAATTACACAGGAATGCTCACTGCAGTGGGATTTATAATAAGAAACATGTCCAACAGGAGAATAGATAAATAAACTTTGGCATATTTGCTACACTCCAGTGAAAATGAACAAACTGTGTCTACATCTATCAATGTGAAGAAACTGCAAAAACATAAGGTTGAACAAAAGAGCAACCTGTAGGAGAGAAAACATGTGTTATATAAATATTTGTAGAAATTTTTTAGGCTCGGCGCCTGTGGCTCAAGTGGCTAAGTCGCCAGCCACGTACACCCAAGGTGGTGGGTTCAAATCCAGCCCGGGCCACCAAACAACAATGACGGCTGCAACCAAAAAATAGCTGGGCGTTGTGGCCGGTGCCTGTGGTCCCAGCTACTTGGGAGGCAGAGGCAGAAGACTCGCTTGAGCCCAGGAGTTGGAGGTTGCTGTGAGCTGAGATGCCACGGCACTCTACCTAGGGGGACAGCTTG